TTGCGTGTTGTTATTCGTGAATGCAAATTGGATATGATTACATATTTTAAAATGAACCACATGTGTGCATCTCCAAAGGAATGCAAAATTGTTTTTCCTAGTTGCTTTGGTAATGATGAACTGTCTGACATTAATGTAAGGTTACTCCTGTCCAGGTTGACTAGAGCAACTGACCTATAGCCAACTTTGTTCATGGTCCCTTAAGGACCCCCACCTCCAGAACTCTCCCCTCCTCCTGCCTGTGGCCCAGAAAAAGGTTCTTTGTGCAGGCAGTGAGCGAGGCAAGTGAGGCCTGGTTCTGGTTAGCGCGTTGTGCTGCATCTGAAACACTCACCTTCCTCCAGGGGTTGCATCTGGAGCTGGTTTCCTGTTCAGGCTGTGCTGGGCATGGGCGGAGTTTGGCCCGACTCTGTGATTGGGCGAGATTTATACTTTATGGACCCCAGGATGGTTAGATTTGCCAAAAAAGTAATCTGTCAATCACTGGAAAAGCGATTCAAACCAGAGGTTAATGCAAGGGAAAGCTTATGATTGGTGCAAAGGCGCAAGCTTGGAGCCAGTGATTTTGCAGCAGATACGAAGAATCCAGCGGCAAATTTAGCATCAGCCAATCTGCTGAGCCCGTTCAGAGAACAAAGAAGTCCTATGTTCTACATTTTCATCCAGTCTTTTTTTTGGGGGTGGGGGGGGGGGGATGTTTTATCATAATAAGAAACTTTCAAGTCATTTAAAGTAATGTCTTTTTTGAGTAATTGCAAACCCCCAAAATAGCATTGTTTGACAGAGCGATGCCATAGTCATTCTATAATTGTGTGTAATACACACAATTAGAATATGGCAGCAGGACCGCTGCATTCAGTAATGGTGTGTAATAATAATGTTAGCTTCCTGTTATTACTGCAGTCATTCTGTAGTTGAGGCCATAAGCACTGCCCCTAAAGCTGCACCGTGGACCTTAAACGCCACATGAATTAGGCTGGATTTAGAGTCTGTCATTGAGAGTGCTCTTATAGCGTTTCCTGGGGAATTTGTTACATAGGTTTTTGAAAGTTAGATTAATGCTTCAGTGGAACAATATCTGTACTTAGATAAAACTGTTATGAACAGATAAAATGTAGTATATTTGGAATGTTTTGAATTATTAATGCATTCATCTGGCAAACTGTAGAAAGTAATTAAATGTACAGTAGGTGGTCCAGATGGCAGAACATCTAACCATTCAACACTTTTCGCCCAATGTTTTAAATCCTCATTCTGAAGTTTCAAATTCAGTTCGTTAAATAAACCTTATTAAATAAAACACATATAGAGTGAATGCAATACTGTGATTGTGCTATCCTAAGTGCTTGGAAAGCGTGCTATATTCTGCTCCGTTCTGTTCCCAGAGGTGTACAGTACACTACCTTCCCAGTTAGCGTGTGTGCCAGCGCTGTGAGTCGGGCATTGTTGAGTTGAGCTTCAGTGCTGGAAAGAGCTTTAGTCAGTCTTCCCACTCAAATTCACTCAGTTCAGTCTCAGTTCTTTACCAAAGACCTCCATTTCCTGCTCTGGCGCCATGGCATGCAGCTGACAGCAGCTTTTATAGATCTCCTGAAGGGACACAGTTACAGTACATGCCCCCTCTCACACGTGATAACATATAGCCTACACATTCTTCACAGTGCACAGTTAGCACGGCTTCATTTTAAGGGTATCACAAGGCAAACAAACTGGGATCTGCTGTTATAGGCAAATGAAAGTTGACATTTTTTAATTAATACCCAATTACTTTATTCCCTTTTAAGAGTGATCATTAATCATGTTTTAGACTAGCATCTTTCTGCTTTTAAAATAAACTAAAAATGCAAGGTAGCAGCAATGACCTAAGATTTTCATCGTCATAACTACACTGTAGCTATGTTCTTAGGACCAATAAAAGCCTTGAACCTTGAATGTGCAATTACAAAATGTCCCTTTGATCAAACCAACAACCTTGTACAACAATCTGGCAGCTATGACCAATTTGCAACCTGAAAAACAACCTGTCAATCAGAGGAAAAGATAAATGTTAAACAGCAATATGCAAAAAACTCAGAGGCCCAGAAGGTAATACTAGTTCAGGTGTGATGGAATTACTTCTTGACAAATGATATGGAGGCTCAGAGTCCCTCCAGAGCCTGTCTTTCAACTCCTCCTCTCTCCACTCACCCATTCTGGGAGCTTTTGTTGCCAAAGTAAGTTGGCAGCAGGTACTTCTCAGGCCAGCTTTGGTCAAAATGAAAGTGTAATTTGCTAACGGTGAGCATGCCTCTTTAAAAACACTGTGAATTGTATGAATGTCATCCTGGACAGACAGAGGTGTAGACAATCAATAGTTCTAAAGTGAGAGATTAAATAGAAAGTGTCTGGCTATTAGCATTTTAAAAAACAACCCTTCATGTCCTCTGTCTCTCCTCGCGGCAGAGAATTAGCAAGGGAAAGATCCCAAACATTGTTTGGCAGTTACAATGAGTGTAACTTGTAGAGGTATTTGATTTCACAACGTTTAAGGAGAAAAATGTGTGGTTTGATGTGTTTGAACGGTCCCGAAGGGCGAGTTGTTGGCTGGGGTCTGAGGCAGGGAGGAGGCCTTGTTGGAGTGAACAGACACACAGGAGAGTGTTCTCCTGATACCTACGATGATGATGATTATGATGATGAGGATGTGACTGATGCAGATGTCACCTTTTTGGAGTTGCTGTTTACTCAGCAATGACTGTAACTCTTATCTTAAGTTGAACTTTATATGTAGGATTATGGAAACCAGCTGAGTCACTGATGGAAGTTGTATTGTGAACACTCAAATCGGGAAATAACTTTCCAAAAAGTCTTCTCCTCAGCTAATACTTCAGGGACAGTCAGTCAGTTCTGTGGCTTTGGCTCACCGTCTCGGGGTCTTATTGTATTGCGTCTTTGGCTCAGTGAAGAGTTATTCTGGGTCAGACACAGGATCCCCCCCAGTGGGCCCACCACAAGGTCCAAAGACCCTCATTCTGAGAGCCAGTTTGTCTTGGTGAGGAAAACACAAAGCTCCTCACAGCGGAATTCCTCGTTAAAATGAAATCTATCCACAGGGGCATTTGTAGCTTTATGGGACACAAATAGTCCTCTGTCAACAATACTTTCATTTACACTATCATTTAAAACATACTTCCTCTTGTCATCTCTCAGTGACTTTCTCAACTGCTTTTCTTCCTCTGCTTTGTTTTTCACGGTCACCCTCCACCTCTGTTTCCACTTTTCAGAAATATTATTTTTTTCAATTTTTGGACAGATTAGCTCCACACCCTTGTTTTATGGGTCTATGAGCTCACTCTTGTTGTGAGAGTGGCCAGTGTTCTGAAAATGGTCCGCTGATCTACAGCATGTTGGACTGGAGTGCAGCCATCGTGAAGGACCATTCAGACCCGCTTAGACAGGCTCACAAAAACAGGTCACTGCACCTGAACATTGGCAGTGTGTTTGTGTGTGTTTGCGTGTGTGTGTGCCTGTGTGTATGTGTGTGTGTGTGTGCAAATCTAACAAAAGAATGAAACAAAATTAAGGGTTACCTCAGCCACTCACAAAGCTGTGAAATTAGCAAATGGAACGATGAGCTCACTCACACTGCGAGTGTTTAATTTAAACAGTTAAACTCAAAGTAACTCACACAAGGACACCAACTTATAATAATATAGTGTTATGTATAGGTAATATCATGCCATGTTTATACTCTCTCAATCATAAACCAAGCTGCCAAGGCCCTACTGGACAGCTAATTACTCAGTTAATCAACATGTCGTTTTTACAGTGCAATTTTCGCTACTTCCCGTCTTTAGGCTATGCTACGTTAAGCAGCTGCTGGTTGAACATTCATATTTACTCTGAGAGTGGTATCTTCTTCTCCACGGACCCAAACACGCTCATTTAAAATAGTTTTCTGCTGCTGTTCCACACGTTCTTCTTCTTTGTCAAAACCATACACCTACATAACCCACTATACAACTCGACAGCTGACAGTTTGCTCAGAGATTCCTGGGTGCTATGTAGAGGCTAATGTAGCCTCAAACTGCTATCCTCAAGCAGAGATGAGGAGCGAGGCATTTGCCAATTGATCAAGATTTGAGCTTATCACTCTAGAGCAGGGGTGTCCAAACTTTTTTCACCGAGGGCCACATACAGACAAATGTACGAAGGGCTGGGCCCCTCACTAGAGGTGATGTATATTGCCTCATAAGTGAAGTTATAAGTCGGCAAAATCAATCAAATGTAAGTAAATTATGCTTAATCAGCGTACATCACAGCTCTAGGGTTTCAATTATTTTGTTGGTCGCTCATTCCTTACAACAGAAGCCTCAGATTGCTTATAATAAGAGGGAATAGGAAGGGTCTATTTCAAGCTTGTTATGAAAATAAGTTATTGAGCTATTTTCTTATCAACTTAGATTTGTTAGAAAATGTTTTCAGCTTTAATTGACTGAATTTATTTGAAAAGCGGGCTTATTAACTCACTCTTCCCCCCCTGCAATGTAACACTTCCATTTCTGCCCCTGTTTTATGTCTTATCCTTATATGTTTCTTTGTTAAGCAACCTTGGGTTGATGAAAGGCGCGTTATAAATTAAAATTATTATTATTATATTTAAGAAGTAAAAGACAAGAAAAAGTTTCATCTGAGGGCAATACTGCATTATATTTTTTGAATTTACTGAGGGCCGATTCAAAATGGTCCACGGGCCGCATTTGGCCCCCGGGCCGTAGTTTGGACAACCCTGCTCTAGAGTAAAAAAAAGGCTTTATACAGGATGTTTTTACATATGCAGCTGTACTCCCTTACACCTGTAAACAGATTGTTATCCTGTCAGTTGAGTTCCCCTTTAATCAACATTCTTATCATGACCCTTTGCACTACAGGCAGTCAAAATCTTTATCGGTCCTATAAGGTACAAAAGATGCTCTCTTTGGACTGACCACCTGTTTTCTGTGTTTGTGTGTGTGTCACAGGCTCTTGGAGACTCTGACTTCCCTGCTGTGCTGAGGCAGCTGCTGCCCTTGATGAAGCCCCGTGGAGGCGAGGACAGCACGACCTCCGGTTCGAGGTCCGGGGAGGATGAAAGTGGGCCCGATGAGATGATCCTGCTGCTGGTCTACCTGTACTCCCTGGCTGACGAGGCGCAGCCTGCAGACCAGGACACGGAGGAGGAGGAAGTGGAGAAGCTGGAGAGGGAGCTGATAGGAGTGCTCACCCTGGTCCTCACCCGAGAGATCGAGCTCAGCCCCTTGGTCCAGAAACTCACCGGTGAGAAATGTGATCACAATTTTCCTGATTGCTTCCAGGAGCTAAGCTTGGTTTGCCAAATGTGCTGATGGTGGAAAACGAGAGAAAATAGAGTAGGAGAGTGGGAAAAGCTGATTGTTTATTTCCTCCGTCGGCCTCCAGTGCTGTTAATGGGAGGATTTCTATCAAAGTCTTCACACCCCATCCCTCTCCTTATACCATTGCATCACACTCTTTCAAGCACACACACACTTTCTGGTCAGTTTGGCAAGCGACTACAAAAACAGTCGAGTGTGGGAATGTCTGAACTTGCATGTGTGAGAGAGAAATGACCCTTCGCTTTCACGTCTGCAGCTCCTCTGCCACGACAATGAGCTTTACCTACACGCCACACAGATATAGGAGCACTTTGTAACTTCCAGTGTGTGTGTTTTTACTGGTTTCTTCAGTTTCCTCTGTTCACCACTAGTCATTGCTGGTTTAGCTGAGCTGGTAGACGTGTGGTAGAGCAGATCAAGGCCTTCAGATGAATTATCCGTCCACCTCCACACCACAGCCAGCTGCACCTCCCAGAGTAATAGCGTCTTTAACCTTGAGCCGGTACACACACGGCCTCCTCCCCTGCCACATAGTTCATAATTAGAGCTACTTTTAGTTTTGGCCCGCTCCGCACCTTAGCACACACCCTGAAATAATACACTGCTGTTTGTGGTTTTAGCTCATATCGCACATAGGCATATAGAATATATATATAGGTGGTAAATGTATGTAAAGCACTAATAAAGTGTGTAGATATTCTTGCTCTGTTTTACTATTTTGCTTCTTATACTCTGTCTCTCCCTCTTCCTGTTCTACTTGGCTAAGTGCAGCTTGGAGTTGAGAGGCCTCTTGGCAGGCTCCGGCCGAGAGATGTGGCTCATGTTAAAAACCTGACTCTCGGTTATAAACACTTCATTGGAAATTACCCTGTCATAGTGTGCCAGGTGTGTTTTAGACAGAAAAAACGATATATGTGTGCACTCGTGCGCATATCTTGCCCATTCAGAGGAATTTGGCTGTGTGTGCACCCTGCTTTTAAACGTGAACGTGTGTATGCGCACGCACAATTGTCTGTGTGAGAGTTTTTATGGCAGGCGATGTAGTGCTTGGCCGGGGTAACATGAGGCGGGGGGTCGTCTCTCTCTGCATCCAGAGCAAAACACTGATTGTGACATTCTACCCAATTAAAGACTCAAATGGAAACCAGACGTTGAATGAAACCTGGTCGCCATGAGAACAATGTTTTTACAAATCCTTTTATTCTATTCCCCTTGGCTACATCACATGCAGAAACACAAGAACAGTAAACACACAAGAGTTGCAAAAACAAAGAGAAGAAATAACAAAAAGGAGGTTTAGGAAAGTGTGCAGGACATGCTAATGCAACACAGCCCGACCCCGCTAACTACCTCCTTCTGAGAACTTAATTAAAGAGCATCTTCAGGAAATGGTAATGCTCAGACTACTTTACTCTGTAGTTTGTTTTGCTGTCCACGTTTCCTGTGAGGCCCGGTGGACCTGAGCTCTCTGTGGGGATCAAACATCCATCAACACATTGACAGTAAGACTGCAATTGTGAGCAGAAAGCAACAGTTTGTCTGTTACATAATCACTGAGGTGGATATGCACCTTTTGAGATTTTTGAAAAATAAAGAAACGTTCATACCAACAGTCAGTAAATAGTGAAATGAGTTAACTCCAGACAATATTTTGGCAGTTTTCCTGAAACTGTGGGGCACTAGTTCTTTAGCATACATTTATAATCACCCGAGAATAGAGTTTATTATGGGGTCTATTTTCAGGAGCAAATTTGGTGCGCTAGTGAGTATTTACTGCAGCATAAAAAGTATATATGGGTTTACTCAAAATAACCTACAGTGCCCATGTTCGTGGATATAAAGGAACATATCAGTCAGCGCAACACTGTGGCTCAAACAAGTGTTTAGTGTGTCGTTTTTTGGTCTTATGTTTGTTTTTATTTTTTATCTTGGATAAGAAGTAAAGATCTGCGTTAATAGACACCTAAAATGTTAACCAGAGTTTTGTGTCTCTATGTTTTGGAGCACAATACCTCTATCTTACACAGGGTTCTTACGGTCATTAAAAACCTGGAAAAGTCGTGGAAATTCAAAATGCAAATTCCAGGCCCTGGAAAAGTTATGGAAAACAATATTTTCCCCAAAGTTTTGGAAAAGTCATGGAAATGTAACTAAAGTTGCATCAAATATAATTTATATTTGAGCTAATCGCCGAAATAGTAATACTATAATGATAATACATACTGTATCGTATAGTAATGAAACGTAAAATGGCATTTAACTGACGAGGTATTTTGCTGGTGAGAGATTTGAGTTGCTTTAGCCTGTAGAAGCTAGTAAGCCAACTATTTGATTTGTTTTAGATAGGCACAACATGTTTCATATGCAGACCTTATTTTCCTGTTCCATTTTAAAATAAACAATTTTCAGTGGTACGCTGAGAGAGTAATTTTTTTGGTCATGGAAAATTAGGTAAAGGTCATGGAGAAGTCATGGAAAAGTCATTGAAAATCATTGGTGAAAAAGTGTATGAACCCTGCTTACAGTATCACTGTGTCCCTGCATGTGAAACTCATATTCTACAGGACCGTGCGGTATGTCTGCATTATTGTCTTCGGGTATGTCTTTGATAAAAGGGTTGAAAAGCATTTATTCAAGAAAATGTTTCCGCTTATTGCAGCCTGGGAAATTAGGTCTTTAACCAAATCCTCCACAGCAGTTACCACATGTGGAAAAAGTATTGGGCAAAGATGCAAAATGAGAACATTAGTAACAGTGTGACTGGGTAAGGAACCCTCTGCTTCTTTATATCCTGGAGTTTGATTGGTTGCTGCCAGACAGTCAATGGTGTGCATTGGTGGTTTGTGATGTGTTCAGGTTGTAAACAGCACCAGGCTGTTACTGTTAATTACTCGTTCAGTTGTGGTCAAAATGGCAATGATATAAAGACTTCTTTCTGGATTTGTCTCCTGTCAGCTTTTGTGCCGAATCAAACCTCCTTTCTCTCCTTCTAATTTATTTTTCTCTTCATCTCAACATTGAGGTACGGTGGGCTGAGAAGGAGGGCAGTCCAACCCAAATGTCGCTAATTCTTCACCCCGTGACATATAGCAAGCTCCGGCTGATGGAGTGTGTCTGTGCTTGTGTCAGTGTGTGGGTGTGCAGCTATGTCTAGTAGTTAGAATGTGAACTCCCAGTCCCAACATGGTGATTTAGTGGCAGCAGTGACAGCAGAAGGAAAGGTCACAAAATAAAAGAGGTCACAAATAGCTTCATTAGTGCAAGATTTGAACTGGAAATGGTTTCATGTCTTGATCCCCTCTCTCCCTGCCTCAGACACACATTGGGTTTGTTATCCTGTCGCTGGGGTGTGCACGGGGCAAGGAGGGGCGCAGGAGGAGAGTCGGACCTCCCCAATGCGCTGTTTGGGTTGGCAAGGCAACACGGGCCAGTCAAGGGACATGAAAGGGATCACACATAACTCTGGCCTCTAACTCTCCGACTGCCTACATCTCAAACTTTTCTTTTCTTTGTTTTTTTTTACATTTCTGTTTCCATTTCTTTCTCTTTCTCCCTCTTTCTTTCCTTTAACCACTGAGCGGTTTCTCCCTTTCCTCTCTCTCTCTGCGGTCCTAAAGCACCAGGCTGGTCGCAGGAGGAAGTGAAGCATACGCTCGTCTAATGATCGCGCCTGATTAAATATATTTCCCCTGTTGCACTGTGTTTATGAAATTAGTACCAATTATTTTTAATTGGTGGTCTTTCTTTACTTCCTCCACTGTTACACAAACACACATACATGTACGAGGTGAACAGTAGAGCCCAGGGTGAAAAAAGCAGCCAGTGGCGTTGTTCACTTCATCAGATAAGCTGATGACATGGAGCTCAGGCTTTAATTAACAAAGGCTCATCAGCTCCTCCCTGCTGGGCAGACAGCCCTGGTGAGCAGGCAGGGCCACACACAGAGACTGGGAGCAGACCCCCAGACTCGCACCCCACCAAGTCTGCTCACACGGTGGTTAGGTCTCCATACTGTACTCTTGTATTCATCCCACTGACTACTTTCTGCTGAACAGGACCCAAAAGCACAGTGTGACTTTTAGGCAAGCTAACAAATGACTACAACTCTCTAAAGGCAGCATAGCAACATGGACCTTTACATGAACACAGTAGGAAAACCGTCCCCTGACAGATTGTGACTGTGCGGCAGTGACTTTGGACAAATTTGTCCAATTAATTATTCTTGTTGTTCAATATTTTTGTGTTAAACCTTCAACCTTGTGTCTGCACAGAGCAAATCTGGTTCTCTCATAACTTTCCTCCAGTCTCTCCTTGTTCATTGTGTATCTGTATGTTGGAGGCAGATTCATAAAGCCCTGACAAAAGCACTTTTTTCTTAGCTTTAATTAGAAACATTTCTAACCTTCACAAACATGTTATTTTACATCCATTTCCTAGCCCCTAGCTTGGTCTAATTAATTGCGTCTTTCCACTGACTTTGTATGCAATCGCACTGCCATTAATATCCCCTTAGCAAATATTATTTTAAGTTGTAGGCATCTTGGTCATTTTTTGTGGAATGTTGTTTTTCTGATGGGTGATATATATAATTTAAAATGTTGTGACATTACAAATGCAATGCGAGTATTTATCTAGGATCCATGTTAGTTTTTCTGTAACATAGTTTACTGATAAAGCAATATTTTTTACATTGGAATTGTGAAAACAATGCTTCTGTTTTAGCTTTCAGTGAGCTTTGAACAACATGTTCTATTGTGTATTAGTAAAATCATGAAGAGCAAAACATGTGTTTGCTTTGCCACTTTCAATTGACAACAAGTATTCTGACTGATGCTGTTGCACAAAGTAACAATCATAGACTTATTTTGTTGCACGACAGGCAAAATGCTCGATAAGCTACTGGTAAAAACATAACTTTACATA